ATACTGAGCCCCTCGGGGCCCTTGGGCTCCTCCCTTACTAAGAGTACTTGGGAATTTCCAAGGACAGGGGGGCCCAATAGCCCCCACTAGAATCGTTCTTTGAATAGATTCTTATGGGCAACCCAAAACAGGAATCCCAAGAAATACCAGGGTCCTTATATTCCTGTTATATTCTTGAGTTTGCCTGCTTGGGGTTCCCATTTTACTCCATTTGATTTTGGGATTCCCAAGAAAGACCCCACATTTTTTGAAGCCACCTTTTTAGGGCTAACCCATGATTATTCAACATGAAGACCACACAAAGCCACAGCAACGGGCGCCTCGGTGCCGTTGTCCAGCCTTTTGGCCATAGCGAAGCACACAAGGTTGACCGCTTCATAATACTACTATAGCCCTAAACCCTAAACCGCCTAAACCTATAACACCTGTTACCACTAGAAGTTCAGGAGCCCCATAAGGGGCCCGTTATGGGGGCAGTTACTGTAAGGGGGAATGACCCAAATAATGCCAATACTTGACCCCTCGCTTCATGTACAATGTCATGGACAATAAGAAACCTTGTATGTTGGTGGGGGGGAATCTGGATTCTGCTAAGACGCAAAACCACCATGAAAATCATGACAACGTAGCAGCAGCGTTATCTTGACTTCTAGTGTTCATGTCTTACGCCATCGTGGCATTGTGAGTCCACTCCCCTACAGGGAAATCGAGGTTAAACTTTGGGCTTGAGGACCTGTCATTCCCGGAGGTGGTTAAAGTTAAAGGCTACCTACGGGAATTTCCCTACACCCATACCCTCTCCCCCGGTACTATAAAACCGCTACCCTGCAAGAACACATCTCCCCTTGCTTGTTTCCACCTGTGCTGTACTGAACAGTGTCATGCTCGGGCTGTAGTTCGCGTAGACCTATAACGAACTTGTCATTCATAATTAGCTCCTTAGGGGGTTGGGGGTATTTGGAAGATTTCTGAATCCTCTTGCCTCTGGGATTGGGAAGATGCCAAGAAGTCGCAGGCAGGGGACATGAACCCTAAACCCCAAGCCCTGATCCACAAATCCAAACCCTAAGTCCTCTAAACCACAAAAACCTACAACAAAAAATCCTCAACCCCTGAACCCCTAAAACCACAAGCTCTAAATCTTAGGGTTTGGGTCAAAGCAAAGCCCCCCAAGCCTCGAAACCCAGCCGGCTGCATTGCCACGCCAGGCTGCTGTCTGCGCAACTGGGACGACCTGTCAGAATATATAGATGGGGATAATGGAAAAGAAAATGGAAACTGCTATAGGCTAATGGGGTATATAAGGGTATATAGGAGTATATATGGGGGATGTACTTGGATAATGGACAAGAAAATGGAAACTACCCAGTACTTTTTGGTTTAAGGTTTAGTTTAGGATCCTTAGACCAGGGATCTATAGTTTTTTGCTATAGGTTTGAGGTTCGGGGTTCAGGATTTAAGGTTTAGGGTGTAGTATTCAAGGTTTTTCATTCCCCCAGTTCATTGCACGGCTGCTTCAAGTACCTGTTACTTCTTGGCGGAACCCCAAAGAAAGTCCCTGCAGCTACAGGCTGTCATCAGTTGCAGCAGGTTAAGCCCAAACTAACTGGGAAGCCCCAAACCCTCCACCCTAAACTAGGATCCCAGGGCTCAGGAAACATTGTACAGAGCCCGAAGCTGAGGCATCCAAAAATCAAGTCACCTGGTTGAACAGGGGACTCACATAAAAATGATATGAGAAATGCAATGGGCTCCATCACTGATCTAATTGTTAGATGCCTGTGGGTTTCCTAAAGCTGGTGGGGAAGGGCTTAAGATCGCATCACTCGCAACTTGAAGGCGACAAGTTAAGGGCTCGAGATGCAGGCCTTCGGGGACCTATCTGCGATTAGATGCCGGGCTACGGCAAATGTTACAGCCCCTTCCCCATAATGTCAAAATCAGCCGGCTAATAACCATGAAGCCGTCTAGTTGTGGTATGCTGAAATGTCTTGGTAATGTTCATTATTGGGGGGAACCGCCAGGTCTGAATAATGGGGGGCAGGGGATTGGGACTTTCTCCGGTCCCGGTTTCCGCACCCACTAACAAACAACAGCTTGTGGGTGTAACTACAAGTTACCAAGCTACACCCCAACAAATTCCCTCATCTATACCTAACTGCTAGTGGGTGGAAGGGAGGGGCGAGCCCAAATTCAGCACTCCATGCTCATGCCGCCTTCCAGCACGCTGTGTGGAGGTCGAACCTTGGGCAAAGATCCAGCAACTACTCCTCAACAGTAGTTTTTTACACCCTCGACTCACCAATTTTGCCTTTCCCCCGCCCCTCCCCGCCCAGTTTTAGCGGTATGATGCTGGCGTAATGTGTCATGGCTGAGGGGTGGGGGGGGGGGGTCCTCAAGGAGAGCGAGTTCATGATGATCATCCCAGGGATTGGTACTTCCGATTTCAGGGCATATGCCCAGCTCGTGTCTCTCTCTCTCTCTCTCTCTTTCTTTTCGTTCGGGCTATGGGAGAAGGCTAAGCCTCCTCCCGGGCTTCAATGCCCAGCCCGTGTTGGGCATGACTGGTCGGCACCCCTCATGGTTTCAAACATGCTGGGACCCACCTGACTTTCGAAAGAGTGCTCGCCCCACAACGTTGCATACAAAGGAGTGGTGGTTGCCCAGTGCCTGAAACTTTTCTTCTAGGACGTGTCCCTACAAGGTGAAATCTCGACCAGCCACAGCTTTATTGGGGCAACCTTAAGGGAAAACTAATGATGGAAACTGTCAAAGGTGTATACTGTTGGCTGGTTGGGTTGTTTGTTGCCCCGGCTTGTCATGGTATCATTGTTGGGGTTAACTGCGACTCTCTCTCTCTCTCTCCCTCTCTCTCTCGCTCTCTCTCTCTCTTTTGCAGTTGTATTTAGGAACATACGGGTGCCTTTGCACAGCTGCCATCATCTCTTTCGAACATTTTGAAAGCGCAAAGCTCAGAGAGCCGGTCATCGCAAGCCTGAATGAACTCTGCATTCAATCCTAGAGAGCCCCTTTAAAGCGGTTGTAAAGGGGCATAAAGGGATGTCCTGGGTTCAGGGTTTGAGGTTTCGGGGCCTTAGATTGCACTCTGAGCCCCATCTCAATTCCTGCGAACATAGCAGCAGCCGATGCCTCTTCACAAGGCGAGGGAAAGAAAATTGTCTCTGTATGTTGCGAGGCGGGGGAGGCGAATGGAACTCCGCGAAAAAACAGTGGCACCTGATAGACCAGCTGAGTGACGAGTAGAGGCCCCATCGGCCCTTGACAGGCTTCTGGGACCGACCCAGCACCAGCAGCTGCCTAAGCTGTCACATAGCCATGTCTATCCATATGCCCATATATGTACCAATAAAGCTAAATACAAAAGTACATAGAAATGTACTTCTACTGGTTTACAGGACACGAACATATGTACATGCTATGCTTGGAAAACACAAGAGCTCCTGTGGGAATGTAACGATGTATGAAGGCCGTGGTTAACCCACAGGGCCCATGTAGCTATTCAGTGCGTACTTGAGCCACTTGAGCTCCAAAGTAAGTGGTTGTATGGGACGAGCTTTGGGGTCTGAGCCTCTATACTGTAGACCTACATGCAGGAGACCTTGCCTTTGGGTCCTGAGCATACGTAGTACATACCTACATGAACCACAGCCAGCATTTCCTAAGGGAATTAATGGACATACGTTCTTATTGGGGAATATATTGGGGACTACACTGAACCACCAAAGGGACCCCCATGTCCACCCTTTCGGTAAGGCCAGGGTTTCGGGTTTAGCTCGATGAGAAGAACCTTGAACCCCAGAAGCCTCAAGCATTTGGCTCTCAAAGCCAGGGCCCACTAGGGCTCACCAGCCGCCCAATATAGCGACCCAAAAAGCATCATAGTATGGCCATCTAATTGTTCAAAGACTTGCAGGAAAGCCGATTTCGCCCAACGCTCTTCTTGACTTGACGGCTTTTTCTTTCGCTTCAGTACATGCTGACGCCAAGCTTTGGGGGGGGCGGGGGATGAGAGCCCCCACAGCCCTTGATGCCTGGCTTTGGTGCAGTGCCTAACCACTTCGCCACAAGTTGCTGCAGCCTGTTTGGCCAGACGGTGCTCGCCCGGACCCCACACCTTTTGAACAAGATCCCCATACGGGCCCCATATGTCTTCGAGAGAACTAGGTGCATCACATGCTACATCCACTTCCGATGAAGACCTCCACAGCCGTTAGAGGTTATAATCCTCCTATGATACCTCAGAGCTTAATCAAGAGCCCTTTCAGCCCCCAACCTCATCCAAAAGGGTCCCTGTTGCAAAGTAATTATCCAGGTACCCCTTTGGGCCTTCAGCATACACTATATACCTACATGGACCCAAATGGGTATCCCAGCAAATCCTTCTAGAAACCTGAAGCCCAAACCCACTGCAAGCTACATTCCGCGGAGAGCTAATATGCTTCGGCACGACTTCACCTGAGCCACGCGATTTTGGGTTTGGACCTCTTAGTGTGCAGGGCTTGGGGCCATTAATCCCGGGGTCCATATGTATCTCTCTCTGTCTCTCTATGTCTCTCTCTCTCTCTCTCTTTTTCACATCTAGGAGCCCACCCCTAATAGGAGGCACCGGCGAGCTGGTCCATTGCCGTCCAAGATCGTTACTGCCGAGGACCCGGATACCAAAGGTGCAACGCGCCGATACTTACCACAAGGGCCTATAAGGATTGCAAGTAAATACTTGTGCCCTCACTCGCCGTCAGGACTTCGTGCATGCCGAGTGCACTGAGGATCAAAAGGAGGCGCGGCCCCTAGGGATAGTGTAGCTCTGACCGAGTCCGAGCCTTAGGGTCCCCACGGGCATCTCCTGACCTCTTTCACGACCTTGGCCAGCTACCCCCGCTTTCACGGTAGCGGAGCCTCAGGAGAGGCTCGTGGACCTTCCAGGGCAAGTTTTCTTTGTGGCTCTGACCTGCTCGGGGAGACGCAGGTGAGAGATCAAAATGAGTGGGAGTACTGGTGAGGGCACTTCGACCAGTGCCCCGAGCACACGAACCAAGGAAGGGATTCCTACATGGAACGGAGAGGCCAACTCTTTCGTGGCGTATGAGGAGGCCTCGCTCTTGTGGGAACAGTCCCTGACTTGGGAAAAGCGGTACACAGCAGGCCCTCGGCTTGTTCAAGAACTCACGGGGGCGGCAAAGCGACTGGTGGCCGGCCGTGATGCCGGGTGGGTGGCCTTCCGCGGCGGAGTCACGGTCCTCATGGACCACCTTCGACGAGCCTTGGGGAAGCCTCGAGTCAACGAGGTGACGGACCTCCTGGCCACGTGCTTCAAGGGCTGTAAGCGGAAGAGCCATGAGACGATGAACGACTATGTGACAAGGAAGTTTGAGGCCTACTTCCGGGCCAGTCAGGCTCTCAAGAGAGTGGCGCCCCACTATGAGGCAGAGCCCCCGGCGAACACCTTTGAGATGCCGACTTGGAGCCGGAGGTCAAGCATGGAGAGCCGGGGGTGGAACCAGAGTGGTCCCAGCGAGGCGGACTCAGGTGTCAGCCGTGGTCAGGCCCCCACAGAGGGCCAAACCGAAGAGACTCCCAGCACGGCACCGGGGACTGATGGATCTTGGCAGACGTGGAACTCCCGCTGGAACAGCTGGAATTCCTGGGCTTGGCAATGGCAACCGGCTCGGAGGCATTGGGACTGGTCCTCAGCTGCTTCCTCGACAGGCTCCTACCCAGAGTCAGGCGGCAGACAGACAGAGCTGCTGCCACCCTTCATCCAAGGCTGGTACCTGATGACGGACGCAGGCCTGGACCATGGTGAACGCAACTTGGTGATGACTGCCTTGGGGGGCGACTTCTCACCTCAACGGGTGGCCCAGGAGCTGCGCAATCAATTCCCGGAGACAGAAGTGAGGCGCCGAGATCAAGGACGTCGGTTCCAAGGCTTCTTGGGAGACATTCTCGAGGACTCGGAGGAAGACCTCACTGTCCCCGGGAACACCACGGAGGAGCTCCTCGAGGAAGGCCTGACAGCCGAAAATGCGGCACTCATTGTGGATGCCGAGTCCCAGGCACAGGAGGCCCTGGCAGCCTTGCATCAGGCCCGCCGCACCTTGAAAGAGGCACGACAGCGTCAACATCAGGTGAAGCAGTCCAGGAAGTACTACCATTCCGGCCAGTCCGGGAGAGCTCCAAGCGGCAGCACATCCTCAGGCCGAGACGACTCACAGCTGGACTGTCTACGCTGTGGAAGGCGAGCCTATCGCGGCACAGGCCGAAGGAAGCCGCTCGACAGAGGGCGGTGAACCACAGCAAGCCCTTCGTCTGCTACCTCGACAACAAGAGTGTGGAGCCCGAGGACAACTTCACCGGCTTCGCTCAGGGCGAGTTCGATGGTGGAACCGAGCAGGCCTACAGTGGCCAGACAGCCAAGGAGCTCATGACCACACAGGAGGCCGCGCGAGAAGGGATGGCAGTGATAGATGGGGGGGCCACCCAGACAATTGGCAGTGTGTGCTGCGGAAGAACCTTCGGAGACATGGGGAAAGCCGCCTCCGAGGGGTCACCACACAGGGTGTTCCCACCTTCTCCTTCGAGAACTCCACCGAGGATCGCTGCCTGAGCACTGCGAGGCTGGGAGTGAGCGCGAATGGCGCCCCAGGCGAGTTGAGTGTGCATACCCTTGATAGGGGACAGAGTCCCATACTTTTAAGTATAGACACTCTGCGAAGGCTAGGCGCTCTGATAGACTTTCAGTCTGATCTTGTCGTTTTTAGAAACCTGGACAGCCGCCGTATAGTACGCCTGGCAAGGAGCCGCACAGGACATCAACTTCTGCCGATGTCGGAAGATTGGCTCGCCAGTGCCAGTCTGGCGCCAGTAGAGATTCCAGGCCTGGAGGCCTACATGAACAGTCCATAGGGACATCTCCTCTCGATTCCCTGCCCTGACGGGAAAAGAGAGGTCACACCAGATGAGTCAGGGACTTCTGTACAGCCATGTGATCATCATTCAGCAATTCCCCCTAAAGTGTGTGTTGGAGAAAATACTGTTGGGCAATGTAATCCTTCAGATGAGCGAGGGAACGTTCTTGCAGCAGACCTGGAGCCTGTGGAGCCTGTTGAGCCCCAACGAGATGCCACAGTTGCATTAGATCCCAGGGTATGTGGCAGCAATCCTGGCTTACCAGCATCCCCTGCCTGTCCTCCTCTTCGTCAGGTTCGCCATGACGAACATCAATGCCATGACCCGTGCCGACATGATCTTGGTGCTGCGAACTTATGGCGAAGATCCTCCGACCAGCTGGACTCGTGTCGACCTTCGTCACCGCATCGAGGAGCTGGTGGAGCACAAGGAGATCGAGATTCAGGGCGGCAAGAAGGCCGGCGCCCCCTTGCAGAGGGCGATCACAGAGTTGAACAAGGCGAGCCGCAAGAAATCCGACCTTGCGCACGGCGACATGATGGGATTCGGGAAGTTCTCCAACCGCACCTACCTAGATGTGAAGGAGAACGAGAAGTCGTATTGCGAATGGGCAAAGACCATCTACCAGGAGGAAGCCACCTCAATCTACCTGAAGCGCTTCGTCCTCTACCTGCTGCAGTCGCCCAACCCGGACAAGAAGACCATGCCGGTCAAGCTGCCGCCATCCAAGGACAAGTCCAAGCAAGGCTACAAGGAGGAGCCGGTGAAGAAGGAAAGTGGGACACCTCCTTCTACGAGCACGACCTCGGCAAGCTCTTCGACGGAGACGACGGTGAGCCAGCTGACGGCTCTGGTCGGGACCCTCATCGCGGAGGTGCGCGAGTTGAAGGAGGAGCGTGCCACAGCGGTTCCCCGCAAGGTGACGGCTGTGTCGGATGTGCAGATGAAGGACCCTCCCAAGGACTCCCGATGAGTCAGGTTGCTGCTAGTGCTATAGCCTACAAGTCCCAGCTGGTAGTTCCCAACATGTTCGAAGAGTTGTCTGGCAGTCACAGGGTTGAACTCATGGAGATTGCATGTGAACCAGACAGCCTGCTTGCCAGTGCCGTTCAAGCGAGGACGGGACGCAGTGACGCCGCCTGTAGGAGCTCACTTTGGTGTGGACATGATTTGGCCACTCCGGAGGGGCTAAGCCAGGTTCTCGAGCAAATCCTCGCCCTTAGGCCTAAGAGAGTTTGGATTTCTCCTCCCTGTGGCCCCTATAGCCCTCTCCAAAATGTCAACCAACGGTCCCCAGCTCAGATCCGAGAACTGAAGGCCAAGAGGGCAACTGCCCAACGCATTTACGAGAGCACCCTTGAGATTGTAAAAGTCTGTCTTCAAAAAGGGATACATGTCACCGTTGAGCTGGCCGAACGTTGTGAGGCTTGGAGGCTTCCCATCTTCCAGAAGCTGCGGTTTGAAATGGGTTTGTACACGGCGGTCACGAAAGGTTGTTCTGTGGGTCTGAAGGGTCAGGACGGGGTGTTGATGCAAAAGGGTTGGAGGATTGTGACGTCTCATGCCAGGTTAGCGGAAGTCATGCACAAACCATGCAATTGTCCCACTAACTATCGACATGCTAAGTGTGAAGGAAAGAACGCAACCTTGTCTGCCCGATACACCAAAGAGTATGTGCGGCTTGCAGTGGAGGCTCTCAGTAGAGAAGGGGACTTCCAGAGGATTGTGGAAGAGTGTTCAGGGAAGAGCAGTCTCCCCGAAGGATTCGGTCTGGGGTTGATGTGTACGTGTTCCGGGTCCCAGGGGTCATGCGGAAGCTGCCTTGTTGCTGAGACCCCACATGTTGAGTCCCCTGACCAACCTGAAGCGTATTTGTCTTGCCAAGCTCATGAGAAACTCCAAGAACAGGCCCGAGAACTTCAACAGAACCCCAACAAGCTTACCTTGAACGCCTTGGAAGACCTGCTGAAGCAACATCCCCTGACCAACCTGGGTAAGACTCGCCGTAATGAAACCAATTCGGCAGATTACCAGGTTTTTGGCTCATATGCCTTTGGAGGCCAGTATGGTGTTACCAGAAAAACTCACAGATGCCCTGAGTTGCGCAGATACATCAACCAAGTCCTGCGTAGGGTCATGCCCCAGCACCTTAAGTGGACCTCTTTTGCCCTCAACCATGGAACCATGATGCCTATCCACATGGACCACAACAATGATGCTAAGCACCCCAACGGCAGTGTTGGCTTTGGTCAGTATAGTGGAGGGGAGCTGTGGGTTGAGGGTTCTGAGGGTTTTGAAGGCAGGCAGGGTAAGGTGTCGGTTCGAGAGAACGCGCAAGGGGAAGTGTTAGAGGGGCCTGAGTTCAATGTTCGGTTGAAACCCTTGGTGTTTTCCCCCAAAAGGAGACATGGTACTTGTGAATGGAAGGGCGATCGCTGGGTGTTGACGGTCTTTGTGAGTAGGAATTGGGAGGCGGTTTCTGATTCGGAGGCACAAGCCCTTAAAGATCTCGGGTTCCCACTTCCTGAAAGAGGCCCCACTGAAGCCTTCCCAGCGGAGCATCAGGACAAGAGTGATCAACATGCCAAGACTGTTGAGCGAATCAAGAAGCAATTGTACCTTCTTCATTGTGCCACGGGCCATAGCAATCCTCGTCATATGGAACAAGCACTGAAAAAGCGGGGAGCTGATGGGCTTACACTTGAGTTGGTCAAGGATTTTTCCTGTCCTGTGTGTCAAGAGAAGAGTAAGCCCCAACCTAGGAACTTGGCCGCTTTGGAGCCCTTGCCGCCCAAATTGGCCACCATCAGTGCGGATGTGGGGCATTGGGTCAACCCCCACAACCAAGAAAGTGTTCAGTTTATGCTGGTTATTGACGAGGGTTCCCGGTTTCGTACTGCTAGGATCCTGAGCAGTGGCTCCCGCCAATGTCCCAACGCCCAAACCTGTCTCCATTATTTACAGGAGGGGTGGGTGCAATACTTCGGACTTCCCCGATGCCTCAGGCTCGACCCCTCAGGAGTTTTTAGGAGCCATGCCGTTGAGGAATGGTGCGACAAACACAGTGTGTTTCTTGACATTGTTCCGGGAGAGGCCCACTGGAAGGTCGGGACTTGCGAGAATGCCATTCAGGGTGTCAAAAACATCATGGACAAGCTGAGCCTGCATGATGAGCACCTTGCTCCCCAAGAAGCCCTGGCGGAGGCAGTTTTGGCTTTCAACCATAAGGAACTGGTGCGGGGATTCCCCCCTACCCAACATATCCTTGGACAGGCGCCAGATGAGACGGGGCGGTTTTTACCCGCCAGCCAACAGTTACCGCCAGACCTCTTGGTAGAAAACCCGGCAGGCGAGTTCCAACGCGCAGTGGAACGAAGGGCCGAGGCTGAGAAAGCCCTGGTGGAATGGCGAGCCGCTGAACGGATCTCTAGGGCGAAGAACTCAAGGCATCGTCCCAGCTACAACTACCGCCCCGGTGAGCTCGTCTTCTATTGGAGGACCCAGGAGGCCAACAAGAACCGGCGACAACCTGGCGGAAAGCATGGACGGTTTTTGGGCCCTGCCCGGATACTAGCCACGGAGTCCCGTACGGAAAGTTCGGGGGAGGTCCGACCCGGGGGAGCAGTGTGGCTGGTGAAAGGGCGGTCGCTGTTGAAGGTGAGTCCCGAGCAGCTACGCAGAGCGACAGCCCGAGAAGAGTTGTTGGAATCCTTGTCCGATCCGAGCACGCAACAAACGCCATGGACATTCCATGCTGTGGCAGAGCAGATCGGTGGTAACAAGTTTGAAGACATCACGTCAGAGCAGCCCGACCTGGACGAATGGCGACGTGCCCAACGCCCGGAAGAGGAGATCCAACCGACAAGATACAGGCTGCGCAGGAAACGGCCGGCTCCAGAGCCAGTCCAGGAGAATGAGTACGAGGAGATTGACATAGGTCCAGAGCTGCCAACAGGAAGTGACATCGCGCAGTCGAGAGGGCGGGCCCCGGAGGGCCAGTGCACAAGCTGCAGCGTGGTGGACGTCAGTTCCGGAGACAGAGTGGCCGGACACCCAAACCAGCTACTGGAGTGACAAAGACGCGGCAGTGGAGATTGAGATCGCCATGCCAGAGAGCCGGCGAGGCATGAACAGAGCCTTGGGGGACCTGGGTGCCTACTTCGCAGTGAACATGAAAAGGAGGGCAGTGGAACTGTCAGAGAAGAAGATGACGCCAACGGAAAGGGAAGCCTTTCGTGGTGCAAAGGGAGTTGAGACTAAAAATTTCTTAGCCTCCGAAGCGTTCCAGCTCCTTCCTCCTCACCTTCGTCCAGACAAGTCCCAGGCTATAGGTATGCGCTGGATCTTGAGCTGGAAACTGCGTGATGATGGGACCCGAAAAGCCAAAGCACGGGCGGTCCTGTTGGGCTACCAGGACAACGCGTACGAACACCGTGCAACCACCTCTCCAGTGATGACACGCCAGACGCGTCAGATGGTGGCACAACTGGCAGCATGGAAGCGCTGGAAGCTGAGTAAGGGGATGTGACGGGAGCATTTCTACAATCACGTCAGTATCCTGACCAGTTGTTTTGCATACCAACCCCTGATATCTGTGAAGCGCTTGGTGTGCCGGCTGGGACAGTGACCCGCGTACAGCGAGCTTGTTACGGCTTGGTGGACGCACCGCTTGAGTGGTGGAGGTCAGTTGACAGCTATCTCCAAGAGCTCGGATTCGAAAGACAATGGTCGGACGCCTGTTGTTGGGTACTTAGAGAGAACAGTGTTCTTCGAGGTATCATTAGCGGACATGTGGACGACTTTCTGTTTGCTGGAAAAAGTGGTGACCGACTTTGGGAGTCCAAGCTTGAGGCCATCCAACAGAAATTTAAATGGGGAGCCTGGGACACGGGATCATTCACCCAATGTGGAGTGCTTGTTGAACAAGGTCCTGAGGGTATCGAACTTTCCCAACCTAGCTACTTGGAGGGTCTCAACGAAATTGGGGTCAATGCTTCCCGTAGGAAAGACAAGTCTAGTCCAACATCCGAGAAAGAAAAATCCCAACTCCGTGCTCTGCTGGGAGGATTGAGCTGGCATGCCTCACAGGTCGCCCCTTACCTGGCCGCTGAAGTTAGTCTCTTGCTAACCGAGGTAACTCGAGCTGCGTGGAAACGATCATCAAGGCGAACGTGTTGCTGAGTCAGGCTAAGAGCCGGCAGTCCTACAAGATGAAGATCCACCGCTTCCGTGAGGACGATGAGCTGATGATGGTGGCCTGGGTGGATGCGGGCAACTGCAACCGAAGTGATGGTGGTTCCACGCAGGGGATCTTTGTCGGGATGACCACAAAGGGTATCATGGATGGACAAGTGTGTGACGTCAGCCCAGTGGCCTGGCACTCCCAGAAGATCGACAGGACCTGTCGGTCACCAGGAGCGGCAGAAGCCCAAGCTGCCATAAATGGAGAGGATGCTCTCTACTATGCCAGGTTTCAGTGGAGTGAGCTGCTGTATGGCCATGAGAACCGCCACCAACCAGACGCCACGGTGAAGAAGGTTGCTGGCTGTGTGGTCACCGACAGCCGGAATGTGTACGACAAGCTAGAGACCGAGGTCCTTGTCATCAAGGGGGCCGAAAAGCGGACTCACATCGAGCTTCTGGCACTAAAGGAGGCTCAGTGGAACACAGGGGTGACCATCCGATGGGTCCACAGTGAAGCCCAACTGGCCAACTCGCTGACCAAGGCCAATGGGATGAGAGAGTATGAACTCTACAGCAAGATGGGACACAGGTGGCGACTCGTGGAGGATGACAGCATGATGTCCGCCAGACGGAGAAAGGAAGCGGGACTGCAACCTCTCGAACAAGCCCGAGCTCATGAAAAGGATAAGGGTTCTAAACAAGTGTCAGCTGAATGATGATTTTCCATTTCCGATAATGTGCGAGAGTGCCGATAAGGGGCCACTCTTCTTTCCGGGGACAACCTGGGGAGGGGGGGCATGCAAGTAAATACTTGTGCCCTCACTCGCCGTCAGGACTTCGTGCATGCCGAGTGCACTGAGGATCAAAAGGAGGCGCGGCCCCTAGGGATAGTGTAGCTCTGACCGAGTCCGAGCCATAGGGTCCCCACGGGCATCTCCTGACCTCTTTCACGACCTTGGGTTCAGCATCTACTACCAGCTACCCCCGCTTTCAAGGATTTTCACCATCCAGTTACTCTGATACGCGCTTCATACTAGTCTCTCCGCTTCTCCAAGCAGCAGTGACACTGACACGCGGGCGGTGCATCTCCAACTGCAAGTTCAAGCCTATCATTTCTCTCTCTCTCTCTCTCTCTCTTTCTCTCTATTTCTCTCGCTATTGTACATATACCCTTATACCCTATGAACCCCTAGAAGACCTATTATGTCCCATAGCCAGGACCCAGAAAACATGCAGGGACTCAGCTGAGGGGCACTTTCTTAGGACCTTAGATAGGTACAGGGGTTTAGAGCCTAGGATCCACCCATCCGCACTATCTCCCCAATTTCCACCATGATTGGGATTGTGTGGGGGGGTAACTGAAGCTAAAAGGAGTCTGTGCGTGCAGGGTGCTTCGAGGCCCCACTTTACAGCCTGAAAGCAATACTCTGCGACAGGGACCCCAGTTCATGTATGAGCCTTCAAACCCAATCCCCAGACCCAAAAATCCCGATGAAACTGAGGCCACAAACCGGCCCATAAGTTGGAGAAGCACTCACATTATTCCTCATGCATGTAATTGCATCTAGCACCCGTAACTGTACTTGGGTTCATCCTGCGACACGGGTTCCTAAGCTGACCTCATCAAATTTACCCTGTCAAACCTATGAACCCCACCTCCAACCAGCCCAGTTGCTGAGTTCCATGTGCCACCAAAGTGTACACTTTTGGCTTATGCTAAGACTACCGGAGCCCTAAACTTGTAAAGTGTAAATGCCCAGGTCCTACGATAACCTCTACCTAATCCCTACGTACCACCGACGCAAACTCTGATTGGTGGGCTTCCTCAAACAAACAGAAGTCTTCGTTACACGGCACCAGCTAAGATAATCCTTGGGGGCTCCTACACCCTACCTCTGGTGGCTTCCCCAAATAGGGGGGATCCCAATGTAGATCCCAAAATGCTATAATCCATATTGGGAACCCCAAAGGGACCCTCAATTTTGGGAAACCCTAAACTCAAACAAGGTGACGGCGCCCCTAAGGGGCCGTGCGTTTAAACACGTTTTTCTGATTGGTTTGGTATGGCG